AATTGCGAATGATTTTTGGAAACAAAAACTAAAATTAATTCACCGGAAAATCAAAAGGTAGCTAACGAACTTGTTGGTTCACCAAATCGTCCGTGTCATCCCCTTAATTCCACCTACAACATACATGGTTTAATTTATTAATTCACTCGTGACTTCAATATATATATATATATATATATATATATATAATACTTATGATCCAAGTTGTTTTACACAAAATGATTAAATCAAAGGACCAAACTAATTTAACCACAAAATCATCACACAATATGTTAACATAGTCGCAAATTTCAAAAAAAAAATTTCACTATTAAAAATTTTGAGTTAAAAATCCATAAACTTTATAACAAGTGCATCAACTAACTGTATATGTTTCTAGTCAATTGGGTCATACATTAGCTAGCGAAGAACGTAATTTTGGTCATGATATTTGGTGCGACATGATCATGTGAATGATCACTTTAAATGTATATCTATGACTCACGATTCATGAGTAGAGTGACTCGTGATTCGACTCATGAGTCATGCCTCGGACAACCTTTACCCCGACCGTTCCGTACACTATACGCGTAGTCAAGTACGTAACGTTAGTTTCTTCACAAGTAGTATATATCTTCCCAACACACCTAAGCACGATCGCACGTGTGTATATATTATAGATATTATGGGTTCAAATAGTTTTGCATCACAATTTGTTCTTAATAAAAAATAGGTTGCAACACAACCCGGGAAAACATTAAATTCTAAAGTCAGAAATTGGACGAGCGACGAAAAACAAACACTAGTCAGTTCGCTTTTAATTTTGGTTCGAAAAAGACATGGATGGATCTAAAGTTCATAACTTTTGGTAAAAGAAAAAAAGGTCTGATATGTAAACAAAAAATATTAGTGGAATTAATTCGAGGAAAGAAAGGAAGACCGAATTATATAATAATTAGATTTTAACGAATAAAACTTTCGGTAAATGGTGATGCGTTAGGAGGGGATTTTCATACATTAATGGTCGGTGTGTTACTAATCAGTCCTATATACAGTATATAATCATGTGACAAAACACACACGATTAACATTACTACTGTACATATACAGTATAGATGAAATCATATATAAATCAATAAATGTATGATACTACATTATATTAATCAATGGTCCATAGCTATACTTCACTTGAAACCTGTACAACCAATCTAGGGATTAGCTAGAATTGTCAGTCAGTTTCGTGGTGCCCTTAAATTTATTTGGTATGTTATTGTATTCGAGAAAAGATGAAATCATGATGGACAAGTACGTGTACGATTGCTAGATTTGTAAAGGAGTAGCTAAGACGTAGACAGTGTTTGAAATAGTTAAGAAAGGTATGGGACTTAGACCAACTTTGGATTTCAACTGTTGTTACTGACATTACTACGACTTTTCTATATTAGTTTACTTTCTGTTCTTCTACCCCTTCTCGTGGATAGGGACAATATGGTTATTTAGATCTTTCTTACTCATTGAATTGGTTATCTTTTTTTTTTCCATATTTAATAATTAAAATAACTTTGTAGAATGGTAAGTGTTCTTAAGCAACAAGATTATATAGTTTTAACTATAACCAATTAATTAATCTTTCTTACTAGTTACTAGTGTCACAATGTTTATCATATATTCGATTTCTTTTTACCAGGAGAATGGGAAAAATTATAAAGCCGTGAAAGTGTGATGAAAACGTTGCATTGAATAGAAAAACTCTTAAATCTATTGACATGATTTAAATAAGAGATCGAAATAGCAAGAACGGTGATTGATATATGCACTGTATACATACGTGTGTCTATACAAAATATAGTAAAATATATGCATTTCAAGTAGCTTAGATTGAGGAAGATTTTTGCAATAAAGTTTGAATAGTTGCTATGTTGTGACATAATTTTTAATCGGTCACTATATTAAATATTTAGACTGGGGCCTATCATATTCTCTCCTAACCAAAGAATACTATACATTTAATATAATTAAAATAATATAAAGCTTTGAGTCTTGACATAACATATAAAAGGCCTTACCTTACCATATCACTTTATATTATTATTTTCTCTTTGTCCAATCTCTCCGTTCTTTCTTTTTCATTGAACATATATAGAGGTGATGTTACATTTTAGTTAACTATATTAAGTTAATTGTAGAAACATTAACATAAGAAGGCATTTGTAAGCAACGAATGAATCTAGCTTTCTTTCTTTGTTATAACTTTTTTTTTTGTCAATAAGTATAAATATCGAAAGAAGTAACTTAAAGAAAACAAATTAGTTGATATATACTGTTTAACAATGGTTGATCTAATTAACTAGTGATGTTCTAAAATGATATAAACTCAAATCTCACTGAATTAACATGCGATTTCAGATATATCATTGAACTAATTAAATGTTACATATTACTCATTTAAATCTTGTTAAATCAAAGTTGTTACGATATAATCCCCCAAAACACTATAGCTTTAATAATAGTTACAATGTTACTTTTGTCGAAAGATACTAATTCCTATGCAGAAAAAAAGAATATATCGTAAGCAACTATTCACAAGAGAGAAACTCATTATTGTGCCGTACAAACGTCTTTTCTTAATTCCATTAGATGAAGACCATTTATAAACATACTATTATTGAAGCAGTTAGTATTATTGTTTTAAATATTGCGGTGAGTATTATTATTGTCTTATTGGTGAATGTAATAAAAATTGTAATGAGATGTTTCGTTATTTCAATAACTTTCGCATAATACGGAAAGACGAATATGTAGCATACAAAAAGTTTCTACTTTAACAGCATTCATTAAAACTTTCCCTCCTCTTCAGGAAACAGATTTTGGTTTCCAACTATTTTCACAATTTTGCTCTTATTACGTAGACAATATTTTTTTAAGCTACAACTAAAATTAAAACTAATCCTAGATTCGGATAATTATATGTACACCTTCACCTAAGCGCACCAGCTCTAAACCCAACCACTTGATGACAACAAGTCGAAAATTTTGACAATCGTTCATGTTCAAAGCTTTGGATGAGTCTCAACTCAATAATTAAAACCCAATATACTATCATAAATTGTATATATGTTTCTTTCCTCACTGCAACGAAATTTTGAAACCTCAAATTTATAATCTAAAATACAGTCTAAAGAAACCTAACACTAAACAGAACTTCGGCGTGTAGACCAAAAGTACTTGACAACAAGTCTACAGCTACTTGCATGGTTCGTGGTTTATTCAAAAAAAAAAAACCTGAAAATAAAATATCCGAACTAATTTAAAATACACATAAAACCTCTTAGTCAGATTCTCTCTCTCTATCTCGCTCAAGCACAATCTCCATCTGCCCATAATTCTTGCTGTCAACAAATTCATTCAACAATCTCCTTTTTTCCCATCAACAACAAACAAAAAACAAAGTCCTTTCACAATATTGAAACAATTTCACCAAAAACCCTTCCACAAGAAACCTCTATTCAACAATGTCGTCTCGAAACCGCAGATCAAGAATCCACTCTATATTCGTCTTCTTCTTCACAAAAACCAATTTTCTTCTTCTCCTTCTTCTCCTTGGTTTCTGCAGCGGAGCAAGAACAAGTAAGAACGTCTTCAACTCGAAACCACACAAAGAAGAAACTGACGTCGTTTCGTCTTCATCTCGACAGTTCTTGGGATTCTTGCCACGTCACTTCCCAGTTCCTTCTTCTGGTCCCTCTAGAAAACACAATGATATCGGTTTGCTAAGTTGGGATCGATCTTCTCCGTGAAAAGCTTTAAAGGTCATGACTTCCTATTTTTTATTTTATTTTAGTTTTATCTCTTAGATGGTTTTCATTTTTACCCCTGCTTTTGAATTTTAAGCTGGTGTAAATGGTTTTTTTTTTGTGATGCCAAGAAAATTGGTTTTGTTTGATTCTTGTCGACGAGGAAAAACATATAAGATCTATGATGAATTTGTAATTGGAAGTTGTATTTTTCTTTTTTTTTGGATAACTCGAATTTGTAATATTGCACGTGTCAATGTGTAATAGCCGTCGGCCAATCTTTTTCATGATATACACTTGTGCTTAATATTACGATCAACTCCAGTGACAAAATAGTTTAAGCTTTCCGTATAAAATTATTCCGAAATTGACATTTAGAATGACCACTTAGGTGTGTGTTTGTAAAAGAATTGGTCAAATCATTCAAATTTAAAGAGAATAAAAATATATTTTGTAACTAAAAAGTCTGATTCTAATTGGTCTTGAGATATCTAGTCAACTTTTTAGGAACTATTCATTTGTTTGATTATAACCAATAATGCCTTTGAAATGTCAATTGTGATGATGGATGGACCAACAACGGTTGCATACACGCATCTAATTTATGCAGCCATTTACCGTATTTTTAATATTACGCGTCCTACAGATTTTAACAATAGTCATCATCATTACAACTTTATCGCTTAAATCTGCACTTTTCCATAATGTTAAGAGAGATTGTTGTAGTTATTTAAAATAACCAATTCAACAGTTAACAATACAGTCATCATCATTACATGTTTGTTAAGAGTCATGAGTTATAAAACCTCGAAAACTAACCTTTTCTTTTCTTTTCGGTAAGTTAGGTGAATTACGTACGGATCTATCAGTAAACACTGCTATAGTTTCAGAACACGCGCCAGTTTATTTAAGGGGAAAATTACAAAAAAAAAACTTCGAAGTATCAATTTATTTTGTAATTTTATTAAATATTTTCAATGTAGAAGAATTTTTTTTTGCAAAATTACCATTCAACCCACTTAAAACACTGCAGTTAGATCCGCCACGCAACGGCCCTGCATTAAACAATGAGTAGGAGAGGAAAATGCTCGAGAAATTAAACGAGAATGACTTTATTTGTCCATAAAAAAATCCGCCATTCCCAAATTTCTTGAAAGAACATGAACAAGAAACAACACAAACAACTTTAAATCGAAACACTGAACTTTCAAAGCCAAGAGAACATCATGATTCCACAGGAGACTCGACTTTGTTATCCTCAGCTGCAAAAAACGGGATGGGTTTCTTCGGAGCGGGAAGACGTCCGATGCTATCGACCCTGTCTTGTTGTTTCGGAGGCGGTCTCGCTGCTTTTGGCAACAACCTTCCTTTCTTCTCAAACCATTCCGGTTTAAGCAATGCCCTTAAGCCCAGTTTGTTGTAATACACTCTTCTCACTGATCCTCCTGCAGCTTCTATCACCTCCTTGGCCCTAACCGTCACTCTCGAAACCTGTAATAAAACACCCAAATCATGAGCTGATGCAATGACTTAGCACTATGTGGAAAATGTAAAAGACTATATAGACCACAAGTTCATAATTCAAATGATAACCTCGAAATGAAGCGGCCACTTGATCTCATCAGCACCACGACCCATTAGTCTTACTCCGTCTTCTATCTGCTTTCCTATGGCTCCCACATCCTGTAAACCGTCGTCAATGGATTAGCAAAATGCAGAGACATGAAGAATCATCAACTCAGTTTAGACCATAACCGGTGAATCAAAGAGTGAAGAGTGTGACCGAACCTTGAGCGTTTTCATTGTGATCAATTCATGAGAATCTATCTCCCCAGCGTTTATGAGTTTAGCGATCTTTCCAAGGCCAACAGGCTGCATCACACAATCAATTTACATCTTTAGTTGCTGCATCAATGAAGTGTCACAATCGAAATCTAAATTCGAAATATGAAGAAGCAGTGTCATCTACTTCACCACAAGCAGCTAATTCACAGCAATAATGACATTCAGAAAGAAGAAATAGAGTGACCCATCTGATCTAAATTCTCATATTCGAACTAATCTAATGAATCCACCACACTCCTGTAATATTCAAATCCTTCGAAGCAACAAAATCATGAATTTTCGAGAAACCAAGGAGTTCTTGACCAGAGAAGCAAATCCCAGAAGCGAAAGGCAGGAGCTTTTTACCTGAAAATGGAGCTTAAATTTGTTCTTGAAGCCACGTTTGGGTAAACGGCGTCGTAATGGAGTCTGCCCACCTTCGAAACCAAACTTCATCGTTCCTCTCGCTTTTTGCCCCTTGTGACCTCTCCCCGCGGTTTTACCTTTACCAGACCCAATACCTCTTCCTTTCCTCGTCTTGAGTTTTCTGGGCACATTGTCTCTTAGATCGTTCAAGCTCAACAAACTGTAAGCCCTAATTCCCTGAAACGACGAAACTCTACTTGCCAAGGTAGGAATTTGAGTGAGGATCGGAGAACGACGGCATTGAAGAAGTGGGGAAGAGATGAATCTGGGTTTGGCGGTATGATGAATCGAAGAGCTGATGAGAGATGTCGAAATGATCGAAGAGATTCTTCTTCTAATCATTTCTTCGTTTTCGGATCAAGCTGATTTTCGATTTGAGATGAAATGAAAATTCTATTATTCCATTTTGGTGATTTAGGGTTTATGAGATTTCTTCAGTTGAGCGCTTCTGATCATCTTCTCCAGTTCAGGTTACTGCCATCACTGGGCTTCTTCATTCATATCATTAGGCCCATTTATTAGCCCAATTCACCAATCCACTTAAAACCACGTCGTTTGAGTGAACTTGCAAGGGGAAAAGTTGGGAAGGGATTTAGGTCATCGTCGCATCGAATTTCTCCGGCAACTTCTCTCTCTTTTTCGCCGTCGACGAAGCAAACCTTCTTTCTCAGGTAAACCCACCTTTTGCAGTTGCTTTCTCGTTTTGATTCTGCGTTCAGTTGCTGTGTGTCTCTCGATCTTTTGAAGAGTTTGCAATTGCGATTTCGATCGTGTAGGAGAGCTAGGAAGTAGAATTTGAGCTCTCTGTTGTTCAGTTTTCTTGTTTACTATATGCTAAAGCTCTCTTTGGAGATATAATCTTCAACCTCCATTCGATTTTTACAGGTTTGTAAAATCTTAAGCCGAGACTTGATAAAAAAAGATGGCATTGGATTACAAACCTTCCGATGATTTCGTAGTCAATAACCTACAGTCGCTCGATGACTTTGATGTGACGGAGTCGAAGGAGCTTTGGCTTATCCAGTGCCCTACAAGTCATGTATGTTGAAAAGGATGAAACTTTCTAGCTAATTCTGATTGAAAGATGCTCATTGATCCTAGTGTAGTGTTGTGCAACTAAAGGTTTGTTTATTACAGTTTCCGGAAATCAATGGGAAGGAGTTTAAGGTGAAGCTAGATAAAGATGGAGTATTTGGAGGATTCGAGGATTCATCTGGTAAGTGTTATGGTTTTCCTTCAGTTCAGTTTGTGTTCTTCCATACTCAATTTGACCTCGAATGTATGCTCATTGCCTTTGTTCTGGATTCTGATAGGTAAAGAGGTTGGCCTCGTTAGCTTTGCTTCCCAAGAGGCTGATGCAACCGTGATTATACCTTCTGCAAACGAATCGAAAATCGGTACATTCCCATTGCTTCAGAAGTAACTCAATACATCTGAAATTGTGTTCTGGTCTAGTTCTTGAATCGTGTTCAGAAGTAACTAATACATCTTGTGCTTTCTCTTGTTGCAATTTATGGCAGTCGGGAAGATTTCCCGGCGTGTCTCGTTAGTGCGGTACCCAGAACCAAAAGAGCTGGTTGATACAGTGAAGACCAAAACCCAACAGAAGCATGTAGGAGCAGTGACGAATTCCTCTGGAAAATACTCGAACCCGGCTCGGAGTAGCAAGCATAAAAGCGGACAGTCGGGTCTTCGACATTCAGCTGCCACACGTAGCAGCAGACAGAAGAGCATCTTTTCCAACTTCCCGGAGACTCCCAAATCTTCAAAGAGAAAGCATCCAGAGTCCTCAGTTAAAAAGCAACATGGCCCAACAACTACTGTTTCAGGCTCTTCCGATGGTAAGTCCAAGAAGAAAGCCAAGACTGACAAGTAAAGAAGGTATCCTCGTTTTTGTTCTTTACAAGAGAGTTTTGTTTGATGGTTTAAGATGTTGAGTTCCGATTATGTAGACGGTAAGCAACCATTATTGTATTCGAATCCATAACTTATTTCGCCATATAGATGCTTATAAAGTCAAAGTCCGTAGCTTTTGTTATCTGAGCAAAGATGCAGTAAGTATTAAAGAAAAAGCTATGGTTATCTTTGTCTTCAAGCATCTTTGGTTGGAGTGGTTGTTGCAGAGTCTTGTGAAGTTGGCTTCCATTGCTGTGGAGTCTGAGCTTTCTTTATAGAGAGAGCATGGATTTCTCTCATCTCATGCTCAAGAGCAGCATTCACAATGCGGTGCCTCTCGAGTAGTGTCTTCCCTTCAAATTGTTCCGTTACAATCTCAACAACAAAACTCGCGCCGCATCTAGACAGGACAACAAGGGTAGGTTTTAACTTTTAAGATTGAGAAATTGGACAAGATATGCCAAATTCAAAAGAAAGAAAGAATGAATTGAATCAGGGGAATTTACCCTCCGGATGTGTCAGTGACTTCCTGTTTTTGCATAGACAAAACAAAAAAAACCAAGTCAGTATGCATAGAATGATCATATGCTGAAAAGCAAAAAAGCTTATATGATTCTAATTCAAACATAAAAGTGAGTATGATCCAATTAAAGTTTTTATTTTCGTGAAGAGACTCCACCTTCTTCCTATAAACGAAGAACAAATTCAGTAGCTGTGAACAGGACAAAAATTGCAGGTGAGGATCAATTGATTTTACCAGATGAACAGGGTTGAGCTTTGTAGTCAACGAAGCTTCGACTTGTTCCTTTGTCACACCCATTTCTCTGTCCCTCTGTGCGTAAACTCTGTGGAGCGTTAGTTCGTTAACTTTGAAAAGCGTTCTGTGATTAAGGCCTTGTGTGTGTGTGTGTGTGTGCTCTAATGATTCTAAATGGGTGATACGAGTGAATCCGGGACCCGACCCGAATATATTCTCTTCTTCACAGCTTTATGGTATTCGGCTCTATCCACAGACACATCACAAAGCCAAAAATGAAAAATGCAAGATTTAAATAAAGGTAACGCATCGAAACAATGTTCTGTTTCTCGGTCAGAGTCAAAACAATGTTTAAAAATCAAAACTTTCAACAATATTTTCACAAAGTCAGGTTACTTCACCAGAAGTCCAGAACAATAATGACTAAATAAACAAGTGGGAATTTCTACCCACCATGCCGTTGCTAAGACAAACCTATTGGAATCTCTAAAATATCCAGAACTCATCATCTTTGCCTCTCTCTGTAAACGTCAAGAGAGTGAAAGAACAGAGAGACTTGTATGCATCAACGCAGAGTTTGAACTTCTCTTGTGTTGCCTTCTTCACAACTAATACGGTAGCATCACTCTCTAGATTTTTCTGCCAATGTAGTAGTAATCGTGCCAAACTCATCTTCAACTCTTCCATCTATGTGCCATCATATCATTTACACAATGATTCAATAGAGAAGTAACTCAAATTGTTGAAACAGAATGATATAAAAACGAAAGCTTAAGGAGAAGGCAACTCATTTTTTGTTGATCAACAGTTACAGCTTGAAGCGTTACTGCATCAGCAGTGGAAACAGCATCAAAACCCAGCAAAGATGAGAGAGACCAATGGAAACTTCACGCTGATGCCCAATAAGCGTTGTCTTCATTCTTCAACCAAAATTGTGATTGGACCGGCCACCCAGTAAATTTGGGCTCTTTCTTCAACCCATAATTTTGGGCTTTTTCGGGATCCAATTAGATTAAATAACTCAGATCAATTTTTCATGGCCCGATATTTCTTTTGTTTCTCCGTCCAGTCATTTTCATACCTATAAACCGTAGTACAATATTGCAATTAGAAGATTTTTTGTCTCGTTTTTCTAATTATATGATTTTATTATTAAGCAAAGCAAAGGTACAACAATTTATTTATTATAGTGTATATATTTTAATTTTATAGTTATTGTACGTAGACCCCTGCAATCACTTATATAGTGTGATAGATTAATTAGGGGCTTAATGACCGTTGGCTAAAACCTTTTGTTTAGACATTGTAATAATACCGGAAACAAAAGGATTTGTTATTCGATGCAAACGGACAATCGAGATACCAATAAAAATAATACTATAATTAGCCAACCTGGATTTCAGATTCCACCAGTTATTATTTATTTCCCTTTTTACGTAATACATACATCCCCTGCTCGACGATTAAGTACCAAAAATATTGACTAGGCATCGAAATAGAGATTCGAATATATACTTTACCACTTTATCATTTTCATGCTATATAAAACAAATCAAATGACGTCGTTTATCAAATATTTACCATAAAACCTATATTTAATCAAATCTTTGTCTCTCTCTGTCGTCCGCAGAGAAATTGTCGGACATAACTCTTCTTTGACCATCACCGTTTTTTCTCTCTCTAGTCCTTCGGTAGATAAAAAAGAAATTTAAGAGAGAGAGAGAGAACCTAACAATCAAAAACAAAAAGTTTCTCTGATTGAGATATGGGAAACTGTGCCACCAAGCCAAAGGTTCTCAAAGATTCCGACGAGGATCTGATTCCGGTTGAGCGAGAGACGACGGCTCCGACTGATCATAACAAGGTTCCGGCAGTAAAGAGCGACAATAATGCTCCGAACGCGGCGGATGAAGCAGAGGCTGCGGAGGCGGCAAGACGGAGCGAGAAAGGAAAAGAGATTCTGATTGAAGATGACGTTGAGGAACACAGCAAACGTCAATCTCTCAGTCTCTTGTTTCATGAGGTAACTTTCCAAACTCTGTTTATATCAATTTACGAAAATCATTCTTTCGGCAATAACGAATTTTTTTTTTTAACTATTGTTTAGTTTTTGTAAGAAGTGGGTAGTATTTAATAACTTTTTTTTTATGTAGAAATTATAGATACAAATGTTTGTATGTAAGTGATATAATAGAATTAATCAGCTCATGACCGTTTCGAACAAAAACAAAGTTCTACAAGAGACATTCTTGGAAATAATACTATCACTTTTTAATTGTAACGACAATCATTTTTTAAAATGTATTACAGCATTGTCGTTTATTTAATTTCTTAATATGGTCAGTGGCTGCAATTTTTAGTGATGAACCAAACGGTATATTCTTTAGGGACAGATCAAAAGGAAAAGCTTATCTTGCCTTCTAAGTTTTGAAAACTCCCTTTATTACAAAAAAACTATATAGGAAAATCTTTTTAATATGTAATGCATATTTTAATATAAAAGCGAAGTTCTGGTTTTCTTTTTCACTTATTTCTCTATCTATTCATGGGATGATTTTTGATACAGGACAAGCCAATAGAAAAAGAAGTAATCAATTTATCTCCGAAAAAACCAGAAACCAATATCAAAACCAGCGCTTCTTCAGATGCTTCGAAGCTTGATACTTCAGCTCTTATGGCTTCTAATGTCAAAGCTCCAGAAACATTTGACGTTCAGACTCGAACTGACTTGGAAGTCAAGATTCCAAATGATTTTGAGGCTAAGACTCCTGAAACGCCTAACGCTATAGAAGCTCAAGAACAGGAATTTAATTTTTCAGAGAATTGGGAGGTTAAGTTTCCAGAGGAATTAGAAGCTAAGAAACCATCGGAAATTGTCAAAGTTGCAGAAGACTCGAAACTTCCACAAGTTTCTAAGGTTTCTGCTCCTCAATCTTCTGAAATTACTAAGGTTACAAAAGAGCCAGATCTTCCTGAGATATCGGAGGAAAAGAATGTTCCACAAGTTTCTGAGGTTCTTGCTCCTCCTTTGTTGTCTGAAATTAAGGTTACAAAAGAGTCAGATGTTCCCAAGGTCTTGGAGGATAAGAATGCTCCAGAGATTTTTGAGGCTGTTGCTCCTGAACTGTCTGAAATTAAAATTACAAAAGAGTCGCATGTTCCTGAGGTCTTGGAGGATAAGAATGTTTCAGAAGTTTCCAAAGTCAAGACTGATGAAGTGAAAGCTGCAGAGTCAGAACTTCTAAAGGTTTCTGAGGTTAAGTCTTCAGAGGATTTAGAGATTAAAGTTCCAAGTGTTTTAACAGTCAAAACTCCTGAAGCATCGAATGTTAAGGTTGAACCAAAGACTAAGACTGATCAAGAAGCATCGAAAGTTAAGATTGCAGAAGAAACAGAGGTTCAAGAGTTCGTGGACGCTCAAGAGAAGATTGATAAATCTGAAGCTCAGATTCTTGAGGACATTAAAGTGGCAGAAGAAAAATCAATTCTGATGCCTAAAACAGAAGAAGGAGAAAAAGATTTGTCTTCTGGGAAGCAAGTCAAAGAGTCTACTACACTATCAGATTTAAAGAACAAATGATTTACAAAGAAGAGAGAGACTAAGAAATTACCAGTAGCTAAATTATACTTTGTTCAAAAACAATGTTTACAACAACAACAAAAGTGTGAGAAAATTTAGCATATTCTGTTAGGCAATTTCAAATTTGTGTGTTTAATATCATGTATTTTATTTTTTATTTTGTATTTCTTGATGATTGGGATACGTAGTATATTTGCATGTCCCCAAGTTGTACACTTTGCAGAAGATTTAAAGATTTCTTTTATTTTTTTAACAAAAAAAAAAAAAAAATTGGTTTAACAATTTTAATTCTAAAGATTAATATGAGAAAATATCATTTTAGTATAAGGTTTTTTTTATTTGGTTTGTCCCTCACGCGCTTGCAGGTTGTGTTACGCTACGCGTGAGCTCACTTATTGCAATCGTAATTCGTTAAGGTTGCTGAGGTTGATGATGATGTTTAGTCTTTGGGCTTCATTTCTTGTCGTTTTTCTAGTCTTTGGATTTTCTAATTCCATGCAAGCCCAAACTGCTTTCTTCAGCTCGGCTCGTGTTTATTCTTTATGGATTCGAATCTTATCTTCGTCTCTTGCTTCCACCATTTCTCTGGTTTACTTGATAGTTCAACACATAGGTATATAGATTTTTATTTTCTTACAAATGTGAGATAATATCAATATAGTCTCTTTTTGTGTGTGACTGATTCAACAACTAAATGCCATAAAAATACAGAAAGAAAATAACGTATGAGAAAATGTTCGATTTGCGGTTGTATTGGTAAATTTAATGGTAACAAAAATAAACTACTGTTTAAGTAAAAGTAAGTAAGGACGTGAAGAGCAATCTATTGGACATTCCATTATTACCGTTCAAATAATCACATTTTGTCGGAACTAGTCATTTCATACGCAAAAGTTTATGACCAATATTTTACATATTGTAACTTTGTTTCTTTCTTTTGCTTTAAAACAAAACCTATGAAAAAGTTAAAATAAAAAATAAAATAACCCTAAGAAAAAGTAGATAATACGTGTAAAAGTAGTTAAAATGGGACAGAAATTTAAAGCAAAATTATTCTAGACTCTACTATGAGAATGATTTAGTCACACATATTATAATAAGCCTAGACTGTAGCACATATGTATAATACAAAATTAACACATTCATTCAACTAATGACAACCTTCACTTCGTTGCAAACGACATCGTTTTCCTTCTGTGGATCAATCTTTTCATCACCACCGTTTTTCTCCTCTCTACTTTTCCCCCACAGCACACAATAGAGTCCTATGATCAATAATAATCCACCTACAATACTACAAAAAAAAACACATACATATTTAAGTTAATTTAATTTATTGAATAAACATTATATATCTGAAGTAAATAATACTTGAAGAAGATTGTAGAACCTTCCAAGACTGATGATCTCGCAAAGTAGAACCGCCGAAGAAAGGAGAGTGAAGAGGAGAGACAAAGGAGTGAACATCGATAAGAAAACGGGTCCTCTCTTTTCTATAACCCACGATTGCAAATAATATGCTACGCCGGTTACAATGAATCCCTGCACATATTATATATCCTCGTTTATATTAGTATTCGGTTTATTAATATGGAATTAATATGGTTTTGAAATGAAATAGAGGTAACTAATTACGCAGTAAATGACTGCAACGAGTCGTAGGTTCCAACCAAGCTTCCATGCTGAAATGTCTCTCTCGAATGCAATAGCGATGACGAAGGATTGAATCGAACTCAGTAGACAATGAAGTGTTGTGAAGTATAGCTTCGAAGGGTAAACTTTTAACACACGACCCTGTATTTATATAGCCAAATTATTTATTCCACCAAGTTCTGAAATTTATTATTCCATTCATGCTATCTTAAAAGTTTATTTGTTTTACTAATGTCAATGTCGTTTTATATATTCAATACAGTTTTGAAAGTACTAACTACTATATAGTATATACTAATTAAGTCGCTTATATCACGCTACTAAATTTGGTATTAGTTAAATAACTAAGCAATATGCTAATGAATGGAGCAATTTGATTAAGTACCTGCAAAACGAGCCAGAGACCCCATAGAATGTTGGAGGTGACCATGAGGACACATCCTTTGAGCCAGGAGGTGGGACCTCCGGAGATGTGGCCTGGTATATTCTGGTGATGATAGAGGTGAGGGCATAACGGTAATTTCAACAGTGGACCTTTGTAAAGAGCTAAGGTAATCACCCCTCCCATGCACACAGTTATCCCCACAAGCTTCGCTGTTCCTTGTATGCTCTTAACCTTGAGCGTCTCCATTCTTTAATTTTATAACACAATAAAGAAATATATATTACTAAAAGATAATTAGTAGATTTTAATTAAAACTATTAAAGCATGTATAACTAATATATACATATATATGTGCATATGTATTGTAAGTACATACCCAAGAAAGAGAGCCAAGAAGAATGTGATGGCCGGAAGGGAAGCTGTCGTGGCGGCGGCCAAAGTGGCCGACGTATATGATAATGCGATTCCGTTCAAGTCCAAGCTCAATGTCACACTGAAATCCCAACATACATAAAGTTTCACTAATAATTAAAAGATAAGGTTTAATAAACGCATGTCGCACCAAAAAAATATATATATATATATATATATATATATATATATATATATATATATTCGTATTTAACGTTTGTAAAGAAACTAATAAACAAATATTGAAATTTGTAAAGAACTTTGTTATATTTCGACTAACAAATCAACAATCGAATTAATTCTTTTGTGGAATTTTTAACTGTGTGCGTTGTATATATTTACAATTTTAAAATGATGCTTGATGAAAAAAACAAATATATCTTTTGAGTTTTACTTTAAATAAAAATATTAACTTTAACATAAAAAACACAAACAAAAAAAAATCAAAGCAAATGAACCTAGAATGTACTTGTGGCAGACATACCCAAATAAAGAGAGCATGAAGATCTTGATGAAGGTCACGAATGAAAGAGGTGGAGCACTTTTCCTATTTAAAAGAGAAAGAGCATAAAATGTATAAATATTTTTAATATATTGTATATACTCATCTATTTGCAAACATAAATGGAGAAATATCAAGGTATGTACCGCTCGAAGAAGAAAGCAAGAGGGGCCAAGAAGATGGTAGCGAAAGCTTGACGATAGAAAACGAAGACGAAAGTGTTCATTCCGCCATTGAAGACAGCCTTGGAGATCAAAAACATGATTGCATATATGAGTTGTATTATAGTCACCACCATGTATGGTTTCTTCGTCTCCATGTCCATCGATCGATAGGTTTATGGTTTCTGTTTTGTTTGAAGTTTCTGATGAAAATTATATGTATATGTGTGGGTGGGTTACTCTTTGTTATGTTCTTCTTTGAGTTAGGATAAGAAGTTATAAGTGGGTATTTATATAATTAGTACAGACACAAGCACGCACAAATTTGATATCTTATTACTTAATATTCCAAAAAATGGAATAAATACTTAAAAGTATGTAGCTAAGAGTGGAGGAAAAAAAAGATATTAATTACTTTTGTGTCACAATCTCACTATATACCAATCAAAATTATTTTAGATGTTGACTAAATAAATTTGTAGATATATATGTTTATCGTTCCGTCCATTAATCACTACGGCTGCAACTGGATTTGCAATTTGAAGAATAAAATTATATGAAATGGTTTATTCAGGTAAATTCCATAAAAATGTTACCATTTAAATGGAATAATTTTTTTTTATCTCACTCCTTTGGAATAGGTAGAATAAATGGAATAGAAAAGAAATGCAGTGTGAAAGTATTCCAGATATCAAATGTACAGGAATAGATGGAATAAATGGAATAAAGACAATTTCAATACCAAAAATACATAACTAAATGTGTTCCATTCTATTCCTCTAAATAGTTACCATTTGAGTTATAAAAAAAACAAATTTCTACAACTATTCATTCCATTTCTTTAATTCTGTAACTTCCTTTATTCCAATTCTTTGTATTCCATTTTTTTTAATTTCTCTTATTCATAATGTTCCTAAAACTGATTTCCAGTTAAAGCCTACGCCACATCTACTAGATTTACTGTCTGCAAGGTGTGACTGTGAATCCATAGATTCATAGAAAACGAAATTTAACTAATGAGAATTGTTAAGAAAAATTATGATTAACTTTCATTAAGAAAGATGTGGAACAGGAGCGAATTTATTACCACTAGAGAGGTGGCACGTGTCCTGTTAGTTTAAAATAATTCATTAATTTGTTTTTCTTAAGGAAATTTATGATTCTATTGGTAAATTTAGATAATTCTTTTCTTCTACCCTATTTATTCTGATAAATAACTACGTGTTTCTTTTATTTATTACTTCCAGATCAAAATCTTTTAAAAAAACGTTTCCTTTTAGCTATTTTTTTATCAATATATTTGCTACTTTTATTTTTTTATTTTGAAAACTAAATGGTATTCTTCATTTTTTATAATAAACATTATGTTATATCTTACAAAAATAGATCCACGGATGATTTTAATTGAGAAAATAACGTTTGTGGTTCTATTGTGAAATGGAATTATGGAATAATTATGCATTTTATTATATATGTTGTTTCTCAAATTAAATATAATAAAATGCATAATTATTCCATAATTCCATTTCACAACTTATGTTTTGCGACCAACTCTTATTATTAACCATTCCTGGGGAAATGTATAATAAGTAAACGTAAACATGAATCACGTTTTGAAATTTCGGGGTTAATCAAAACTTAGAGAATCGTGTCTAATAATATCTTCACAAACATTAACGTTATCAATTATATGATGAACTTGATTAGTTATAGCTCAATCGTTCTTCTCGTGATCAACTTACACTCCCAATCCAAACATTATCCATACACATATATATACATATATTAACTCACTGATTTTTTATTTTTTTGAACATTGTATGTAACTCATTGTTATTACTCCGATATCAAAATATATAGCTAGCTAGCGTCTGTAATGTTCAAAACTGGTTTAACAAAGATCAATTGATTTATATTTTTATTGGTTAACTAAAATAATCATGCACTTGACTAGTTGAGAACCATTTTTACCAGTTAAGTTAAAGTTTTATGAATTAGCTATTGCTTTTTGTGCCTATCGGATATCTGATTTTGGAGACTCAATCATCATCCACAACATAGACGCGTAAAATAAGTTGTCCCTTCGGGGCTATCCAATAAAAGATGCCCAAAAACAAGTTAGTAATATACTATTATAATGTATAAAGATATGGAACCAAAAAGTAAAAAAAAACTAAAATAAAAGGACCAATGAGATTAAAGTGTTTGATGACCCATAAGCATGTGGTTTAAACGTATACATGACAAAGTAGATGGTGATTGTTAATCGCGAACGTCCGCGCCCTCACGAGTTGGCCATGCAAAAACAAGTTAAATGAATCCATATATTATCGCCAATATTATAAGTTTAGCTTTTATTGGCCTTTTTCGCTTTTTTTTTCTTTCTCTTTCAATTCACATTTTATTAATTTGGTATACATATATAACATGTGCTTGGGTCGTCGAAACCAACATAATAAACCTGAAAACCTGTTTGTTTGAGTTCTGGATATATTGACTCTCTCCATTCCTAAAAACTACTATTAAATCCAATCAATAATTGAGTGAGTGATTGTATTTGTATGACAAAAATCTCACAATTAGAACAATCCACGAAACAAAACCTCGCACGGATCTTTCCTTAGAGAGCCCCGTCGAAATAAACATGTCATATATAATATACCGAGTACTAATACATATGCATCGATATGAACGTGGACTAATTATTTATCAGTCCTTTTTAATTGATATCTATATAATATGCATGCTTTGTCTTTTATTTTTTTTGGTCAAAAGAGACAATATTTCACTTTCAATCATTACACAATGTGTATCTTCTTCTCTAGTACTCTACTCTCGTTTGTTATTCTTCATTTTTTTATTAGTGGTTTTTTTTTTCTTAATAAAACCATCCCTATAATTTAATGAATATGCAAATTATGATAAGGCTGAATTCAAGGAATATACGCATATCCGATCTTTTTCTTCCTAAACGTTAAAGTGAAAAAAAGAAAGAAAAAAGACAACTAAAGAAGAAAAAGCAAAACAAATAATGGTTTGGTCAAGAAAAGAGCTGATTCTCTATATATATCGTTGTCGTTGCTTCACAAATTTTAAACGTTGCATATAAAGGCGGCAGCTCCAGTGTAGTTAATTTGGGCCAAATGAGTGATAGATAAATGAACCCGAGATACTCATGAAAAACTCTAGTTGGGTTCTATGTTATGGGCCTCCTAACAAACAAGGGCCCAAATTTAGTCAATAATCACGTGACATGCATGTGAGCAAGGGGTTTAGTCTGGCTTTCTCTTTCTCTCTTCTTCTCCTTCATTTTCGGATCTTGCTCAACTACCAAATTGCTAAAACCTCCGCTCAATTAGTTTCCGCCATTACAGTCACACATGAAACGTCTCCTTGTTCTACACATTTCCTGAGAAAATCATGCAGTTCGTGTCTTCGCGAACCCTCTTCCCCCGGCGCGCCGTGTCCTCCGTCGCCGAGCTTCCGGCGCGGGCGCATCGGGTGATCTCCGGTCTGGTCGCGAATTTCTCTTCTTCTAATGCAATCTCTGGGTCCAGCTCCGTTCAAATTACTCCCAGGTGTCAACAGCACGGCGAGGAGTCTCGGGGAGTTAGGGTTTCGGTGTGGTGGGATTTCGAGAACTGCTCTTTGCCGGCGGGTTCGAACGTCTTCAAGGTGTCTCAGACCATAACGGACTCCGTTAGAATGAACGGAATCAAAGGACCCATCACGATCACAGCCTTCGGAGACGTATTGCAGCTCTCGAGAACGAACCAGGAGGCTCTCTCCGCAACCGGAATCACTCTCACTCATGTTCCTCAAGGTCCTTTCTTTTCCAAAATCCCCTTCTTCCTGTTTCATTTCTATGCAAAACTTAAAAGGATCTGTTTCCGGAGAAAAAAAAAAGCTTACCTTTTTTGGTTTTTGTATAACAGGTGGGAAGAACAGTACGGATAGATCTCTGATTACGGATCTAATGTGTTGGGTTGCTCAAAACCCACCTCCCGCTCATCTCTTCCTCATCTCCAGCGACAGAGATTTCGCCAGCGTCTTGCACAGATTCAGGATGTGCAACTACAACATTTTGCTCGCCGGATACGAAGAAAAGACGCCAGGTGTGTTGTGCAGCGCTGCTTCCATAATGTGGGATTGGAATGCTTTAGTTAGAGGGCAGAAATCCACCGGTAAAGTCTTTAACCAGCCACCGGATGGTCCTTTTGATTCTTGGTACGGTCACTACGCAACTCCTCTTCTCGACCCATTTGCCACCACCTCCAAGCTACAGTGTACCGAGGAACTGCAGGATTCGGCTTCTTCTAAGGTTTGTCGTCATATCCCGAGAGAAGTTGTGAAGCAGATTGGTTTGGTTCTGAGTTTGTATCCTAAGGGCACAGCCATTACAAAGCTGCGTGAGCAGCTGAGCAAGAGAAATGTAGCGTTAGATAGAAACTTTTACGGACACAAGAGTTTCTCGAGGCTTCTGTTGTCTATGCCCAAGATCTTACAGGTTGTTCCACAGGGAGAAGGTCTGTTTCTTGTTCGTGCTTGTACCAAGGAAACGGATAACAAAGCCTCATCGCCGGAACTAAGCAGCGAGAATCCCAAGATGCATCAGAGTGTGGAAGATGTCGAAAAGGAATCTCAGTCACCAGAGAGTTCTCAAGAGTCTGTTCCGGTAATTATCCAGGTGGATGTTGAGGCAAAAGACGAACCCGTGGAAGAAGATCAGCTAGCTTTAACTGCCGGAAATGAAGCTTCCTCTTCCGGGGAAAAAGTCGGGTTTCTTAGGAGTCTAAATAGACTCTGGGTTGGTTCAGATGCGATGGCATTAGATCATCTCCAAGAAGAGAAACGTATTTCTGGAAATGGAGACGTTGTTAGTGAAGGAAAAGTGGTGGATAAAGACTTAGAACCTCGAATAGCATCTTCCACCTCTAGTGAATCTGCTAAGGAGGTAAAAGCAGACACTGAAGTAGAAAACGTGAAATCTAAGAGTCCAGGGCTTTTAAGTCGACTTCTGAATAGATTTAACTTTTATGGGGGAAGAAACACAGAGCTTGGCGGCAATGCAGCAGCAAATGGATCTCAAGTTGATGACATGTTTGCAAAAGATTCTTTTTGGAAGGACGTTGAATCTTTCATTAATTCCCCAAGAGGCTTCGTCCTTGTTTCTCACTCAAACTCAAGGTTCTTGATTCTTCTCCTTCCCTTTACGAATGTTTCTGCATTAGCTATGAGGGAAATAATAATATTGATCATCTTTTTTTATTATGTCTGTTCAGAGAAGCGTTGGCTAAGAATCTTAAGGAGGAAGGACCTTCATCTTTTAAACCGCTTGATGAATCCAAAATGCTTGATATAGTAGCTCTGTTAGTAACAGAGAAGAAATGGATCAAAGAGAACCCTTGTGATGCTCTACCTTTCAGAGTAACTCGGTTCACCGAAAAGGGATCTGTTCTTGGATTGAGATCGATATTTGTGGATCTGTCGAAATCGCAGTGTGTCGAAGCAGATGATGAGGAGAAGAAATCCAAGGACGTTGGTATGAGCCAGAAACCGTTGGAGAGATCAAGAAGCGAGGTAATTGCAGATTGTCATAAGCTGATAAAGAAGATAACAGAGGAAAACCCTGGAGGTTATAACATGAGTAACTTGAAGAAAGACTTTCTGGAAAGTTTCGGGTACCGCTTAGATTATCATAGCCTCGGTTACCCGAAACTGCAGTCTTTGATACAAATAATGCCCGAGGCGAGGATTGAATCAGGACACATTGTTCCTTCGTCGACGCCGGTTCCATATGGATCTGACTCGTCATTTGAAGAACTTGGTCCAGTTTCCAAAGAGATTCATGAGTATGAGCAATCTGTTTCAGAGGATGAAGATTCTGACTCGGGGACGCAGGAAGAAGCTCCTTCAAAACAGAGCGGCAACGAGAGGAAGAAGAAGAAGAAGAAAGGGGGTGAAACAGAGAGCGATCTACTTGAAATTCTGGGTTTTTTGGACCCTGTTAAAGATGTTAACAAGACTTGTGCTTTTGATGAAGATAAGTTTGCTGATGGAGTATTGACAAGCTTGAGGAACAAACCACCATCAGGTGAGACTAGAGTTCAAGGATGAAGATGACTTAACCCGGGAAACAAACTAACGGTATATCTAAACAAACGTTTCGGTTTATATGATTATTTTTTTCTGGGTGGGATTTCGGTTTAATGATTGGTTCTTTGTCAAAAAACCGTGCAAATTGGCCAAAAATGTTTGGAATGGTGTAACGCAAACATCAACAACTTTAATTTATTTAAACCTTTTGATTCTTTTATCTAAAACTCAAACTAAAAGAAACAAATTATATAAATGTTGCAACTAATGTTACGACTTACGAACACCAAGATAGCAACTTTTGTCTAACTTAGAATATCACAACCGGAGACAAAGCGAAAGCTTCCGGCGCCGGAGACGGAGACGGAGACAGTTCCGGCTTGTCCGCCTGAAAATCACAATAATCTCTAAGATAATCCCCTTCCATAGTCGTAAGACCTAGAGAAGTAAACATAGCGGACCAACACTCTTTCACAATCAACCCAATGGCTCCACAGCAATCTTTGTCTATTCCACCGGAAACCGCCGGTTCCGTTGTACCGGTACGGCTAAGGAAGAACTTGACGATCTCGTCCGTGCATGACTTAAGCTCCAACGCCGCGTTCCAACAATCCAATAGGTTTCCGGCGCCGGAATGATCCTCAGCCACCGTCTCGGTCTGGAGATTCCTCGCATCAACGACGGTGATAATGTGGACGGTCGATATGAGATATGAAGTTGTTATAAATGTGAGGAAAAGAAGCTTTGAAGTTGTATTAGTGGCCACTGCTTGCTTTTTTTCTTCTTGTTTAAGGGATTAGCTAGTGAGTGATTATGCGTGTGTAAATTAACGATTATATAGTCGAAAAAACTAATGAGGGAGATGAGAAGTTTCTCGTTCGTTTTATTTTGCTATTAATTACACAACTGATCGTGGTTAATCAATGACCCACCTCTGTCATTATAAATTTCCATCTACTGTATATTCGAAGTTATTGGCATCTTAATGGGCCAAATAAAGTAGGCTTTATGGAAGCCCATATATAAATATATATCAAATTAGCTCATAAGTCTATTAAGCCCATTCCAACTGAACGTCAGTGTAAGCTCAGGCGAGGAAGAAAGATGAGCGCGACGGCGGAGCTGCCGACGAAAGAGGCACACGTGCTTAAAGGCCACGAGGGGGCGGTTTTAGCTGCGAGGTTTAACGGCGACGGAAACTACGCTCTCACTTGCGGCAAGGATCGAACCATCCGCCTCTGGAACCCGCACCGTGGAATCCTAATCAAGACCTACAAAGCACATGGCCGTGAAGTCCGCGACGTTCATGTTACTTCGTATGAAACTCAACTCTTACACATCTCCAGATTCTATGAAAGTATTTTTGATTTCGATTCTAATTTGTTTAGTTTACGTTATCATAGTCCACACATTGTTCCTTGCAGCTTCAAATTGATTGATTAAAATAACGAGTCTCATATTTTTTAGGAGCTTTTAGTAAGCGAATGTGAAGAAGTTGAACTTTTTATGATTTTGATATTTTGATCAATTTTGTTCAATTCAAGTTATAATAGTCCATGTTATTGGATTCTAGTTATGTTTTTGTTGTTGTTGCTTGCAGCTAAAATTGTTTGAATAAGATAAGAAATTTCAAGCTTAGGAGTGTGCTGTGTTTCGCTAATGTGAAGCAAAATTGACTTTTATCGGGTGGAAACTGATATAATGAGTGTTTTTGTTCCATATTCCAATGATTTTTGTTGCTTGCAGCTGACTTTGATTAAAGAAGACTAGAAATTTCAGATCTTTATGAGTTTTTGTTTCAGTATTGTAAAGAAAAATGGAGTATTTATGTGGTGGAAGCTTAATATGATGAGTGTGTTTGCTTATCCATGTTTCAATGATCTTTTTCTTTTTTCACAGAGACAATGCCAAATTTTGTTCATGTGGGGGTGATCGACAAGTTTATTACTGGGATGTTTCAACCGGACGGGTAATCCGTAAATTCCGTGGTCACGATGGAGAGGTAAATGTCTCAGAATTTGGAATCTATGTCCCTTTATTGTGATTTAGTTTGCATAAACTATCCATTTCTTCTTCTGTTTAACGAACAATGATCTTGTCAGGTCAATGCAGTGAAGTTCAATGATTCATCAGCTGTGGTTGTATCAGCTGGTTTTGATCGTTCGCTACGTGTATGGGACTGCAGATCTCACAGTGTTGAGCCGGTTCAGGTTTTGCTCCTTTCCTTTTTTCGTTGTTCCAAATCTCGGATTACTTTAGAACTTAACCAGCTTCTGTTTGATTGATGGTTTTTTCTCAGGTCATTGATACGTTTTTGGATACAGTCATGTCTGTTGTTTTAACAAAGACTGAGATTATTGGTGGTAGTGTCGATGGAACTGTTCGAACATTTGACATGCGTATCGGTCGGTATGTAAAAACTCCACACAAGAGAAAGAGTTTGGTATTGTTTTTTTTTTCTTCTTCTTCCAGGAATCAGAATATCTGATAAGAACTTTCGTTTGAATCTGGAATCAGGGAGATGTCGGATAACTTAGGACAACCGGTTAATTGTATAGCGATATCAAACGATGGAAACTGCGTTTTAGCTGGTTGCTTGGATTCTACTCTGCGTCTACTTGACCGGTAAAATTCTTCTTGTCAATTTGAAAAAAATGTAATTTCTCTTACAGATTTGCCTTGGTTCTTATGAATATTTTATAAATGCAGAACCACAGGAGAGCTACTCCAAGTCTACAAAGGTCATATTTCTAAGGTTAGTCATCAGTTTAAAAAGAGAATGTATTCATAATCCACAGCTGCTTAATTCTATCTTAGTTACAACATTAGGAGTATGATTAATGACTGGATCTTGTGTGTGTATGTGTGTAACAGTCATTTAAAACCGATTGCTGCCTCACTAATTCGGATGCGCATGTGATTGGAGGATCGGAGGATGGATTGGTTTACTTTTGGGATTTGGTAGATGCAAAAGTGGTTTCGAAATTTCGAGCTCATGATTTAGTGGTAAAGACGAACTATGTCTTCTTCTTTGTTTCTTCTCCATCCGTTTTAAACATTTTTGGGTAGTATTGGTTTTGACTTTTATTCCATTGTTTAATTTGTTGGCAGGTGACAAGCGTGAGTTACCACCCGAAGGAAGATTGTATGATGACTTCTTCGGTCGATGGTACAGTTCGTGTCTGGAAAAAATGAAAGAAACAACGATTCTTAGTTTTGGCGCATTTTGTTTGTCACATGTAACTCTTCTTGTTTTTTTACTCATTACCGTAGGGGATAACAGTAATGTGAAATACTTTGTGGACTTGTACTTACTTGTATGCAAAGAAAGTCTATGGGCTTTAAAGGTTCCAAAAGCCCAATTTAATGAGGGTTGGTCGTGTTGTATGCGAAGAAAGTCTTTGCGCTTGCATGGTTCCAAAAGCCCCAACTTAATGAGGGTAGGCCGTGTTGTGAAAAGGAAGGGAAAAATCGAGAAAGCCCAATTTTTAAAAATATGAAAAGTAAAAAAGTGTGGCTGCTGGGATTCGAGCCCAGGTCTCCACGGCCACAACGTGGAATTCTCACCACTAAACTACAGCCACTTTGATGTTAGCTTTTCAAATCTTGAGAATATATACATTAATATATAGGTAACTTTTAACTATTTGATTGCCCATCAGATTGAACTTGGAATCAAGTAAAAGCCTTCGTTGCTCAAACTATTCTCCCTTGCTTTTTTTTTTTTAATCTCCCAGATTATAAATCAAGATTCTATTCTTCTTCCAATTATTCTCACGTTAAAAAAGACAACGAAACATGAAGTTCTGATTTTGATTCATGAAAAATGTTATAAAACTTACGAAAGAGAATCACATAGCTGGAAAATATGGGGTAGACAGTAATGAAGAGGAACATGGCAAGAATAAGACCAATCTCTTGCATGTGTGTTTTCATATTTTTTGTTTATTTAATCTCTTATCCGCCGCTCTGTAATTTTATTTTTAATACAAAAACAGATTCAACTTCACGATTGACACCATATATAATTCTTCCCTTAGACTAGCAGCAATATTACTATTGTTTTAAAGAAAATATTATGCAACTTAACATGTTTTACATATAATTTGGTCAAGAAAAAAAAAAACTTGTTTACAAAAAACCTTTTCGGTTTGACCTTTGAACTGTAAAAGTCAATATTTCTTACCCGGACAAGCTAGTTCGGTCCGAATCTAATCAGGCGACGTACGGTTACAGAACTGCTCTAACTAACCAATAGTGTGGCGAGTATAAATAAAGACCTGTACTCGCAGAATTAAAACTGGCGATGAGCTGTCTAAATACAAAGACTAAACGTGACCGCTGCCCGTAAAAGTCTAAAACGCTGCCCGAAATCTGAGAGAGGAGAGTTCCTTAGTTCGGACCAGTTAAGACTTTTTTTTTTGTTGGTTGTCTAAAGTACAACAAAGCAATTTCACAGCTGGCCGATATTTGTTTTATTCTTTTTAAAATTTCGCCTGTGTTTGTTTTCCGATTAATTTAGGTTTCTAAATTGTAATAGAATGACTTTTCAAATTTACTGCTACCGCAAATAATTACAAAAAAACGTATTAGTGGGTAGTGCATTGTTGCTGTGTTGTGGCAATTTTTAGACTATAAAAGATGGAGGAAAATATGACAATGGATAATCGAAACATTTTGCTCAAGCTTTTACTTCATATATGTGACAAATTCTTTACGTTTTTCTACAAATATTTATTTTGTATAAATATATAATAAAATATCGATTTGTTTAGTTTTACCAATCTTAAATTTATTTTGTATAAATATATAATAATACTATCGATTTGTTTTGTATGAATATATAATAAAATACTTAACAGTTTAGTTTTACCAATCTTATATTTATTTCTATGGGTTCTCCACCGACAAGAGAATATCCAATCGACGTGTGGCATTAACTAATTATTAAAGCTTATTAGTAATTGGAATTTAATTAGTATTCCCTCTTTCATCGTGTTTTGTTATCAAATAAATAATGTTGTCTTTTCTCTAAGTTTTAACGCTGCATTTTATCATTATTTTAATAATTAGTTAAAGAAAAATTATTCTAGTTAAATTTTAAAATATTATAAATAAATGTACATCAACAGAAACATCGAAATATAAAGTATTATACTGTGAAAATATGTATTTTATGTATTTGTCTATTTATTTTATTTTTTAAAATCATTTGTCTTTGTTTTTAAAATTTATATGGCATGTTATTCGTCGGATGGTTATGGAATAACCACACATTCTTACTTTGAGCTCACGTCGTAAGTATGCACTTTTTTGGGTCGTCAGTAATAAATAATTACTTTTTTATATAAGAATTTTTTGTTTGCCAGCGTAGGAAAAGGTAAATTAATTATTTAAAAAGCTACTCATTGCGCACTATCTCGCAGTTATATGATTACACTTTTACTAGAAACAAAGTAGTAAAATAAAAGCAGTCAAAAAGTCACCCCTGAGTCACGCAACACGTGTTTATATTAATCATATCGTTTTAACTAAAATTTATGTACACGTAAAGAAAATTACTCCTTATGTGCTCCGAGCAATAATACATAATTACATTTTAGTTTCCATTTAGGGAAACAGCTTAGTTTTGCTCAGATAAACAACCCGAAATCATATTTTTTGGGTGAATCATTGTTCTTTTAAATACTTGTATTTTTAAGCAAAGACACTTTTTCTTTTGATAAGAAGGACACTTTGTTTCTAAGGTTTCGTATTTTTATTTTTGTCTCAATAACGTTTCGTGTATTGGAATCGGATAAATTGAATTGGTTAAAGAACAAAAAACAAAAGATCCAAAGGAACAACAAAAATTTCAACAACGAAACAAACAACTATGTGATATAGCTATAGGTGGTGATTTCGCCGATTTGTTTTGTTCTCAGAACAAAACAGATATGTCGTTATGAATTTTAATTTTACTTGTGTCTATCAAAACTATGTTCGTTTTCAGCTCAAATGCAGAATATATTAATGTGTTCAATCTTCAAGCTTGTTACGTCATCATTTAAATTAATTCAAAGTCGAAGAACTGGTATAAGTGATGTACTGATGTGATTTAAATTGCGACTTCTTATTTATCGATGATAAAAATGATTAAAAATTAATATAACATTTTATCTAATTCGCACCGGAAATACTTCTAAGTCTCTAATCTACACATAATTCCATTTTCCCATTACAAATTTACATAAAAATGGTAAAATATTGTTCTACATATAATTTATTATTATGATATTATGCATATTTTAACTTTTTAATGCATATTTTAACAATATATATATAATATGTTCATTTGCTAATTATGAGGCGTAAATTCTTTTGTAATGTGACCATATGCGTTCTGATTGCGTAACCTTAAAGAGAGAACAATTTTAATTTTTTGAGAATAATGGAAAACAAAAACATGAAGAAAAAGAATATCATGTGAACGACAAACAAACCCCACATAATATGGTGTATTGCACTCGTTAATTGGCTATTTCTGCGACGTTCAACAAATAGATCGTGAATCAATTGCAGGTGAACCCGAAAAATAACATCAATTGTAACTGTGATCACTTTAAGTTAACTTCGATTTAATCATAATAACTCTGTTTATATCTAGACCAGGTGGCTGCATAGACGTACATTTTTTTTTGGGCAAATGCATTGACGTACAGTTTTAACTTACGGATTATGAATCCCAAACGAATTTATATTAGATTTAAAACCGTAAAGAAAAAATTCATTGATGGGAGCTTGTTAGTGTGTTTGAGTTGTAAACTACAAAAAATAAAATATAGTTACATCATTTTTGTTTTCTCCATATTATTCTACAACTCTGAATTGATAAAATAGGTTTTGTTAAAATAAAATAAAAACATAGTTATATTTTTACTACCAATTTCTTTGTTTTGTTGATCTTTCATAGTGTGCTATAAAAAAGCGTGACATAATATGTTCTATCATTTAACATGTCAACAAAGTACAATACTAAAAATGTTATATATATCAAAAAATTTAATGAAATCATTTCAGGTCAAATATTTGACAGTTTATATATATACCTTATGTGCAATATAAAACAAACATGCTATATAAAAGCATTTTAAGTCAATTTAACACCAACAATGGGTCGTTGATTTAAATATTTGAACCAACATGCTATTTCACAAATTTTATTCATTTTAGGTCAGCAAACAAATTGTTCTTTATTGTATAACAATTTGTATTTTTATTCGTTTTTTTTTACTTGAACATTACTTTATTAATCAACTGAACAAACTGTTTTTTTTTTATTGTTCTCTAAAATATATTCTTACATATCTATTTTTTTCCTGGTTTGAAACAGAAATATAACAAATTACTGAATAGCTTGATATGATTTGATCGAATCAAGTTGACCTGCAACCCAAAACTCAAAATTTAGTTCAAACAAAAAAACCAAAACTTAATCGCTTTGACTTAAAATCAATAATCACGTTGACCAAATGCTCTAACTCGATCTTCTTTTCTAAAATTTCATATAGTCATAGACATGTATAGTTAATATTCATAGTAAAAACAGTATTATACGTTTTTTCTGCAGCGTAAAAATTAAATGCTCTTTATTTTCCATAGTGCGTAAAACAAAAATTATAATAAGGAAAAACAATAGTTTAAGGGCACCGACAGTGTATATAAGAACATGTGGCACGAGGGTTTGGAGAAGACAGTACACAGCATTCGATCAATCATGAAAACGACATTTGATGTGGTAACCTACTAAAGTTCGATCTTTTTATATTGATTAGAATATTTTATATATATAAAAGTTTCCAAAAAATATTATTTAACTTTATTTCTCCGGGCTATCAACAAGTCAAAAATTTTAAAATTCGAGAAGGAAAAATTAAAATATTGGCAACAGTTTGATGCTATATTATTATATCACGAACTATTTGTCGGCAAATGTATACATATAGCCATCATACATAGGCATATTTGTGATGTGATACGATAGTGTCAATAATTGCACATTTTCTCTTATTTAAGTACAGAGGAGAAAAGGTGAAAAAAAAAATTAGCAATGTGGCGAGTGGGGGCGAGTTTTGAAATAAACAAGTTCTCTGAAATATATGGCAAAACAGTGATTAGTAGGACGAATATAACAAATAAATTACCCAGTATTAAAA